TTTTTATATGTAATATCAGAAAGTTTATTTTTTTGATTGTTTGTTATTATGCTTAATGCTTAGAGAGTACGAGTCGATTACTGGATAGTTGATTTCGTGTACTTTGTATGCTATCATAATTCTAATGCACTCAAGTTTATACCTGCTACCATGTGATGTTTAAATATCCTCCATTGATAGAATTCTATTTTTTATTGTAATACTAATGTTAATGCACTCATTATACTATATTATTATATCGGATGTTCTCTAAAATTAAACTACTCTTCTTGGGCTATAAGATTTTTTATTTTTGAATGGGGCTATAAGATTTTTTATTTTTCAAGGGGGCTATAAGATTTTTAAAAAACAGTACTAGAGTTCTTAAAATTATAGAAAATAAACTCTATATTTTCTATTGTAATTTTTAGGCCAATTCAACATTGCACGAATTCTATTTCCCGATCATGAACCCGTTTCAACTTTCAACCATTTCATCATTCACACTTTCTTTTCTCTCATTCATTATTTTCCCCCTTCTTTTTCGTTTTCCAACATAATTAAAATTGATACAAGAACTTCCCAAGAAATTTTGAGCACAAGAAGACTTTGTTGTCTTATTCGCGTTGCTCTCTACTTTGTTTGACGTTAATAAGATATTTAAATAGAAGAAAAAGAAGAAGAAGAAAAATGGACCGATTCGTGACTCCTGCTACTCTACTTTACCTTTGAATGTCAAAACTCTATTTGAGACTCTTGGTGGAAAAGGATTTGCTCGAATAGTTGAGATTAATAATATCAATTTTTCCTTTTTTTTAAACCTGGATCACACCGATGTAGAGATATGATGACTAGAGGTTATGTATTAGATAACTTTAAATTTCTTTCCATGTATTAATATAAAAGACTTGGTTATTTTTCTGATCCTCAATTCAAGCTTTCACACATCAGTATTAAAGCAACCATCAATTTTTTTTACTAATCTATTTATATATAAGAAAGGAGATAGCTCAATTTTTTTACTAATCCATTTTTTACTAATTGAATTTGGAATGTGAAACATAGAATTTATGAAACATTATATAGTTTACATTGGGGATGATATTATCTCTACAACATTATAAGAGTGAATATTGTCAAGGACATAATAGTGATAAAAAAAGTGTTGGTGTCTCTTATTGTACAAAGCCATTGTACATCATGTAAACATTCTTGTACCTGTTTATTCAACTTTAACGGTAGGGTAATACGGTGTTATTCATCGTTAGTGCACCTGTAAATATTTTTCCCCATTATTTACTAAACGTTCCCTCTCCCCATAGTAATGGTGATTAATTTTTTTTAATCAATTACGGAGTACTTATTGTCATATAGTTATTCAAAGGGAAGGGAAGCACTTTCATATCCATATTGGAGAGGATTCAGAGGAAGCACCTTCATTCACTTCGTTGTTCTTCCTTCTTATTTTATCTTTCTAATTAGAATATATTTGTGTATATTTTTTCTTGCCCACTCACAGACTCACAGTACACACGGTAAGTACTTTATTAAATGTATTTGAAATACCGAAAAGTCGAAACAATATATTTAGATCGTAACTTATTTCAAAATAAAGAAAAATAATTATTCCCACATAAGAATAATACGTGTTAGAAATGTAAAAATAGGAATTGCTATATAAAATTTCCTAAATAGGAGTCTTTTTTGTATTGGACAAATATTCCCTGCAAAGGTTCCATAATCGTAGCCGCCAATCACCGGATTCCACTGCCACCGCCAATCGCTGGGATTCAGCTCCCAGGATGTCGTCGTTACCATCGGACAGCCCTATGTTTGTTGGAGAACTAGGGGGACAAATTTTGTATATTAAGGGTAATGAAAAATAATGTTCAATTCAATTATATTCAGAAAATATAAAACATGAACTCTTATTTAGGTGAATATGATCATGTTTTATTCATATTTAAGACAATTACTTTAAAGAAAAATTTGATACATTCAATCTCAAGATGTTTTTTAACACATGAGTAACAAATAAGTAGCTTTTTACACATGAGTAACAAATAAGTTGCGGTGAGTCAAATACATGCTTGGGCATTTTAGTAAACGCGCATGGCGCGTTAAGAAACTAGTGATCATATAAGGGCCGGCCATCATATAAGTTTTTGGGGTCTAGACATTGATGAATTCAATTCCCTGGATGCAAAAGAGATGAACTTAGAAAATGTGAGATTGAGGTGATTAGTTCAGAACTAGAGATTTTATGATTATTAGTTAAACCTAAGAAAATTATATTTGTATTTCAAAAAACTGCAACTTTACATAATTAAGCCTGTGTAGTTACCAATTTACCATTACCAATAAGAATGAATAGTGATCTTTCTTTATATCTTCTCGCCTATGTTTGTACTTAAAAATAGTGGTCTTCCTAATGACTTTGATTATCTCTGATGCAGATTACCGTATTGACTTCAATGTTACTTGCGCTTAGTTCATTGGAAGTTACCTGGGCACCTTGAAATGGAAAAGAATTTCACATATACTTCTATCTTCTAAAAAAATTGAAAAGAAGTTATCTTTTCCCCAGGAGACCTGGGGTAAACTCGGATCAATTTCACTCCATTTGAGATTAATCTAGGATCTTCTATAAGAGATTGTGAGTCGACGACCAACTGAGCTAGACCGGTTCCTCAACTTTTGCAAAGAAGTTAATCTTTATGGATGCAAAAATTACATACATCTAGATCAAGAGACTTATTTGTCACTTGAGATTAATATCCTATTTTTTTTAAATAAGCTACAAGCTTCGTTGTATAAGAATTACAGCCTATATTTTAGTTTAATATTTTAGTTTAATAGTGAGTCTTGGACTGGGATGCAACTCTATATTTTAGTTTAATCTCAATCAATCATAAACATTTGAGCAAATATAAATGTTCATTACAGATTTACAGCCCTTGATACTTATTTAAAATCATTTGATGCTATATTCCTATCCGTCTATCACTCTAAAAATGTGTTGCCTATCTAAAAATGTGTTGCCTATCAAAATCCTGCTTTCTGGAGATTTCTAACAATAGTTTTTCTTTTGACATATCTGACATTAAATCTTATGAGTAGACTATATTTTTTCCGTCATTAAATTGTTTGATGATCAAAACTAACAAAAATCAATATTAAAATGCAACCATTAGTACTCTCTCAACCCCATGACAGATAATTAAATTTTAAAAAGTTCAAAATATTGTTTTATAGGCACTTTAAAATTACAGATAAAAAGGAGGGCTGATTAGAATGATTTGATTTAACAAGTCCCAAACACCATATAAGTCGACCACTCAATGAAAATAAAATTATACATCTCTTCTTAATTCTGAAGATGTCCACTGAGGTAGCGATCCATGGATGCAAAAAAAAAAATTAATGAAGATGCCATATATATGTCAGTAACTTAGTAAATTTTTTAAAAGTCACTTGATCTATTAAAGTTGCTCAATGAGGGTAGTCCTGGACTCGGGCCGGGTAGCCCGACCCGGAACCGGTACTGTGCTGAACCGGCCCGGCCCGGTGGCCCGGCCAGTGACCGGTCCGGGTAGGCCCGGCCTGGGGGGTTCCCGGTGCGGGCTCGGGTCACCCAAAAGCCGAACCGGCCCGGCCGGTTCGGGCCCGGTTCCGGGCTTTTTAGTTTTTTTTTCAATTTTTTTTTAACTTTTCGGGTTGGGCTAGGTATTTTGGGCCATTTGGGGTGGTTTAGGGGGGTTGGGGTGGGGGAGGGGTTAATTAGGAAAAGGAAAAAAGAATTGACCCGAGGCCCGGCCCCGACCGGGCCCGGTGGCTACCCGGGCCGGTCCCGGGCCCACCAATTCAGAACCGGCCGCCCGGCCGGGCCTAGGCCCGGCCCGGCCCGTACCCGACCCGGCCCGAATCCAGCCCTAAAGTTATGATAGTTTAAAAAAGAATGATTTAATGCAAATTGGTAGGAAGTATAAGATAAGCTGCTTAACAATTGAGCGGGGAAATTTTCTCTCTTATATGTAGTGGTTTAAGGTATAATAAGATAAGCTTGCTAATAATTGAGCGGATGAAATTCCTCTATCATATATAGTGATTTTAGGTATTGGAAAATAAGCTTGCTAACAATTGAGTAGGATAATTTTCTCTGACACATGTGGTGTTTCTAGGTATAAGATCAGCCGACTAACAATTGAGCGGGAGAACGTTATCTCTCATAAACCGTTCTTTTAAGTATAAGATAATACGGTTAACAATTGAGAGGAAAATATTCTTTCTCATATGTGTGCTTTTAGGTACAAGAAGATAAACCGGCTAACAATTGAGCGGGAAAATTTTCTTTCTCATATGTAGTACTTTTACGTATTATAAAATAAGCGTGCTAACAATTGAGTGAGATAACTTTCTCTCATATATGTAGTTCTTTTAAGTAGATATAAGTCGGTTAACAATTAAGCGGTATACTTATCTCTCTCATAACGTAGTGCTTTTATGTGTAAGATAATTCGGCTAACAATTGAGTGAGAGAATTTTTTCTAATGTTTAGTTCTTTTAGGTATAAAATAAGCAGACGAACAATTGAGCATGACAATTTTCTCTCTCAAATGTTAGCACTAATTTAGCTAATAATTAAGTTCTTACTTAACTAACACTCATTAATTTCAATATTTATTGTATTCACTTATACTTTTTGTCATTAAATACCTTATTGCACTGACTTCGTAGAACAATATTTAATTTTAAAATGAATTTAATCATGAAAAATAATTGTAACAAATTCTAATGAGTGGTGTCAATTAATTTTCTCTGATGCACTTTTCATTGAAAATTAATTATGATTTTAGCTTATTATACTCCTAGATTTCGAAAACGTAGAATCCTAAAAAGTTATTTTATTTTAATATTTAATTAGATCATGAGAAAAAATATATGTATCAACTATTACTTCCCGTGCGTATGCACGGGTACTATACTAGTTCAATTAAAAGACCATACAGAATTCAAACGGACCGCAGGACCCAGGCCCCAGCAGCTATATATATTCCAGATGTCAGTATCCGATTCTTGGCAGCCATGGGAGAGAGCATAACCAGAGCGAAAGACGCTGTTGAAAAGGCGCTGAAGAGGGTAAATCCAAACTCTCTAAATTGGCCTTTCTACAGGCGAGATGACGAATTGTTGAAGATGGAGCTTGCTGTGGAGCTGACATGGATGAAATGCTTCCTCATCAACAGCCAAAGAACGGACCACGGACGGATGGTTGCCCCTGTCTGGTGTCCGGCCATCGAACGCCTTGCCGGAAATTGGGTTCCTAGCCATCTAAAAAATTCTCCTGACGACAACAAACGCTTAGGTGATCTTTGCACACAATTTGCTAGTCTTAGACAAAAGATTCAACCTTTTGTTATCACCTGTCAGTGCCATGCTCCCTCCTCATCGTCATCCCCTGTTTCTTAATTTTACACAGGCGTTTATTTATTAGGGATAGAAAGCTTGTATTGTTAATGCGATCCAGCACAATACAAATTTCTAGATCCGCCTTTCCTGCTTTCATGTATTCCTAGCGCTCGTATTCCCTGTTCTATGAGTAAGTTTGTTTAACTGGTTTGGGTTTGATGTTTTTGCTTTATTCACAAGAGCATATGATGATGCCAAGTTTTATAACTACGTTTTCCTTTCCAAACCACACATATAACGAAAAACTAACATACTACGCGTCATTTATTTCACAAGAACAAGAAATGTGGCATGTTCATTTTTCAACTTCTATGAAGTGTTAATTTATGAAAGGATGCCGAATTTTAAATGGTGTGCTTGTGTCAAGATTAAAAAAATAAGAATACAAACAATATGCCTAATGTGAGGAGAACGCATATGGTACACCCGGGTGTACGGGTGAGAACCGTACATCCGTTCTTTTTTTAATTTTTTTAAACTTCAGCCCAATTTTGATAACCCAGATTGAATAGAATTAAATGAATCCAACGAAAGGCCCACAAAACAGGCCCAATTAAGAAAGACAGTCCATTCAATTAAAACGGCATATTTTTTTCGGTGGCAGTTTTGTAATTTAAGAGAAAAATCATGGCTCGCGCTAAATGAGCAATAATGTAGTTTTGTTGACCATCTCACATATTGTATTGAGTATTATGAGGTTAATAATGAGTATCACGATCTTTGCTTCATATCTTCCAATTCTTTTTTTTTCTGCTATAAAAACTTATTGATTTATATCTAAAATTCACTTCTATTAATTTCAATATGCGAGTCTAATGTAATATGATACTTTTGAAATATGCATTGATATGACATTTTAAAAATGAGCACAACATCAGTATCAAATGAGCATACATAACTTACAAAGTGCACATTGATATGAAAATCGTAATGATTGTTAGTTGAACATAATGACATTTTTATTGAGCATCAAACCTCCACTATTGAGATGAAAATCACAACTTCTGGAGAATGAGTAATAATAAACTTTTAATGAGCACCCGACCTATTCTGTTGAGTATTAGGAGTCAACATTTTAATTGAGCATCAAACATCTGCTATTGAGATGAAAATCATAGTTTCTTGTGAATGAGTAATAATAAACTTTTAATGAGCATCAAACCTATTATGTTGAGTATTAGGAGTCTATCATAAAATAATACTTATAAAAATGCATTGATATGACATTTAGAAAATGAGCATAAGATCAGTATCAGATGAGCATATGTAACTTACAACATGAGTATTAATGAATTTGTTAGTTGCTTTGTTGGTTGAAAATCACAACATTTTCATTCAGCTACAAAACTTCTCTATTGACATTGATGAAAATCATGATTTCTATTATAAGAGCATTCATGATTTATTAATGAGCATCAGACCTAAACAAATGAGCATGTGTAACTTACAAGATGAGCATTGATATGAAAATTGTAAGTTTTCATTCAACATCAAACATTCTCTATTGAGATGAAAATAATAATTTCTGTTAAATGAGCATTAATGTACTTTTAATGAGCATGATAACTATTCTGTTGAGCATTAGTTTCATAAGTATTGAAATGACATTTTAAACGAGCATAACGCTAGTCTTGAATGAGTATACATATGTTATAAAATGAGCATTGAAAAAATCAAAAGCTCATTTAAAAATCACAAAGTTTGTTAGTTTGACATAATGACATATTTATTGAACATCAAACCTCATCTATTGAGATGAAAATCACAGGTTCTGTTAAATGAGCATTAATGAACTTTTAATGAGCGTTAAAACAACTTCGATGAACATCAGACTTATTTGGTTGACATTATAAAAATGGGCATAATATGAGTGCAAATTGAATAAATGTAACTTACAAAATAAAATCATAATTTCTTAAGTTTGAAATTCAAGACATTTTTATTCAACACCAAACCTTCTCTATTGAGTATTGAAAACATGCAACTAAGTATCATGATATGTGCTCTATATCTATAATCAACTTCTACATGAATCTAAAAAACAAACTAAAACATTTAATAATATTTAATATTATACATTTTTATAATAATTGAATATAACATTAAAGTAGAAGGTTGCTAAAAAAGAAGAACAAACAAAGAAAGCGAAAAAAAAGAATAAACAAAAGAAAAGAAAAGGAGAACATACGAATTACGAAGCAAAGAAAGAATTACGAAGCAAAAAAAAGAAGAATGAAACGAAAAGAAAGAAAAGAAACAAGAATGAAACGTGAGTGCAGCGGATCAACATGCGTGAGTGCAGTGGCCGCAGAAAAAAAGAACAGAATTTTGTAAGTTACATTTGTTGAATTAGGATATAATTTACCTAATGTGAGAGGATGTCGAAAAGTGTCCAGATATGATATCCCAAATTTGTTGGCTTGAAGTCATGAAGTGTTCCATTGGTTAAAGGAATGAACGATGCATTTTCAATTCTGTCCATATCTGGCTCTCATCATCTAAACTACGGAGGATGTATATACGGGATAACTTAATTTTGTTTCAATATTTTAGTTGAAATTCTTTCAATTTTCATATCTAGCCAGCACACTGCACGCTAGTATTATATTATACTCTATAAAGTTAATAGACTAAATGGTCAAATAGGCTCGCGAACTAACTTAAAAAGTGCAATTTTCTCCTTATATAAGAGGCTTTATCTGGCCGTCGCCAATTGGGGCGGTTTCCTATGGATTTTTTTGATGAAATTTTTTAAACATCTTCTTCATTAATTCTAGTTTACTCATACCAAATTTCAGGAAAAAAAATCAACCTGAACAATCAAATGATATTCTGAAATGTATTGCGCAGTTATCTTCAAAAATTTATTTGACTATTTTCCCGATCGAATTTTTAGCTGAAATTTGGTATGAGTAAACTAGACTTAATGAAGAAGATGCTCACAAAATTTATCAAAATATTCCACCGGCAGCCGCCCCAATAGGCGATGGCCGGACAAAGTCTCCTATATAAGGGGTGAATTGCACTTTTTAAGTTAGTTCGAAGCTTATTTGACCCTTTAGCCTAATATAATTATTTCCCAGCCTAGCCAAAACCAGATTCCTGAATCCCCTCTTGATTTATACTCTAACTCTTCTGTATTTATTAAAAGGTGTTTGATAATGAAGTTAATAAGCACTGCAACACTATGTTACAAGATTTAGACGGGAGAACGACCCGGTCTAGTGACTACGTCACGGTCAGCTTTGACCCGATGGATCAACCCGATGAATGCCAGGAAGATCCGGTCAATGTTTATAAAGAACCTCGGTTGAACTTAGCTAGATAATTGCTATATACGGTTTAATTTGTTATATACTCCCTCCATCCCTAAATAAATTTCCAACTTTTCTTTTTCGTTCGTCCCAATTAAAAGTACTTCAATTCCACTTTCTCTTATTGGCAAAGAATTTGTGGTTCACAACAATTCTTACATATTTCTCTCTCCTCTGCACAACTCTCCATCACACAATACTCACTTTCTTAAATTGTGTGTCAAACCTATTTGGAAGATAAATTAGGGACAAAGGGAGTAATTAATTGATGTAGCACTTTAATTGGAGATATACTAAACTAGCTAAGTTGAGAATATGATAATATGCATTCAGATTTGCCAGACACATTCGGTAAAAATCCTTAAGCAAATAAAAATAAAAAGCAAGTGCCTGAGAATATTAAAGAGGCATTGGAGGAAAGCCACGGAACTTCAAGTTTGATGGGACAATAAAGCACATCTAATGGTGAAGTTATTGATTGTTTGTATTTCACTAGCCTTAAACCGAACGGTTCTTTGAAGTCTTTAAAAATTGGAGGTTGGGGCGGTTACAGAACTAGCCATGTTATATTCTCATACTTGAACCAACTTCAGTTCTTTTGATTTGAATTTCTTTTTGGTTCAGCAAATATGGTAATACATGGATTGATAAGTTATGTATTGGATGCTCATGTAGATTAATATTGATGGAAAGGTGGAGACGTTGACACAAATAAGTGGAACGTATGAATTTTACATGAACTATGTTGTACGTGATCAGATCCATTACATTTCAAACTAACTTCAATACTTATGGACCATATGGTTCGAGCAGTGGTGAACCATTCAATAGGGCAATTCACAAGGGTGCAGAAATTTTAGGGCCACATGGACGAGTTGGTCAATACATGTATGCCATTGGTGTATTTTATCGTCTTTAGTTTAACCAGTTGGTGTAACATCCCTATGTTACAATTTAAGATTATAAATTTCATGGACTTCAATATGATCGTGCATTTAAGATAAACAATCTAATGTAAATTAAATATAGAGCCCGTTTGGAGACCCTTTTTTTCGGCTTATCAGGTTTATCAGCCAGCTTTTTCACCAAACACGTAATTTTTAATTTCGCGTGCTGAATTGTGTAATAAGCACAAAAAGTAAGGTTGGAGTTACTTTTCTGGCTGTATTGGCTGAAGTTACTGTAGATGACCATTTTAGCTATTTTTACATGTAATTTTTTCTTTATTTTATTAATAAAATATATTTTTAAAATATTTTTTTCTAGAATCAGCAGAATAAGCCAAAACAGCCACTTCAGCCAGAACTTCATAAATTTCAGCAGAAACAGCCAAAACAGCCGATTTTCGTGCTACCAAACGGGCTCATAGTTTGCAATTGTTATAGCAAAGATGTGATAAACAATCTAATTAATGATGCTTGGTGATCCTGTTTCTCAACATACCTATCAATCTTATTAGTCAACTTTTTCACCAAACATAAAACTTTTGATTTCTTTTTCATCATTTCTAATGTAGCTAAAGATTAACTATTTTTTAGCATGCCAATATGATGAAATATTCATTAAATTGTTCACACTTGTTTATTATGTACAAATACTATTTCATTTATATGTATAGACACTATTTCATTTATATTGTTAATGATCATTTTACACCATAACTATTTTATTTCAAAATCAAGCAAAAAACACATGGCCAATGGATCGTCCTGCGGGTAAATACTTCGGATTACATTAGGGTCTCGTGCAGGCAGGTGACAAAAGGTTGCAGTTTTTTCCTAAGTTTGGCAAATCTTATAATACAAGTGGCGGCAAAAGAAATCAAATGGTCAATTACAGCATCAACTGCTGCGTGTTGTTCTATGACAGAGGACCAGAAGTCAGCTATT